TTTTTTTTTTTTTTTTTTTTTTTTTTTTTTTTTTTTTTTTGAACAAGACACAATCTTAAAAACAATGAACTTGCTTCAATTATGCTCGTGTACGATACACATAAATGCAGAAAATTAAAATCTGTTTAATAAAATCGATAAAACGTTGACTTCAGTCGGTTTGGTTTGCACTTCTAGTTTGCAGTAAACTCTACAAACCTCTGCATGCTGATACGCTAAATAATTTTCTTTTAAATTAATTTTTTTTTATAAATAAATTTTCTGAAGAGTTACAGGAACCAAAATGTACTCGAGATAAATACAATTTTCATTCAAATTTAAGCTGCAGAGTTTTGGTTTGGTTATCAATATCCACTACTCCAAATAATGATATTCCTATTGATAACAATAAAAGTAAAGATATTTTTTTTCTCATTATGCAAACACTGTGTCCCTTAATCAACTTGAGCAGCATATCCCTTTTCTTTTTGGCATGTTTCTATGACCACAGTCGTTCCGTTTCCTCTTTGGGGAAATCGTGGAATGAGACAAAAATGCACACGTTCTGCCAGACAAACCGCACAACACTTTTTTTTTTTTGTAAATGTACAAGTATATACGAGGCACCGTTTTAAAATACTAAATATGTACAATTGTTCGCCCTTAACGCGTTCTCAGGTGAAAAATATGCGCAATAAGATTATTTTTTTTCGTAACGAAGAACAAACTACGGTAATATGTATTGATCGTCGCGTGAGAAAGCAAAATTTTCTGCGTTCTTCGAGAGTTCTTTCTTAAAAAAAAAACAAAACAAAAAAAAAAAAAAAAAAACGATCGATCTTTCATTAATATTCCCTCTTTTTTCCCCCCTTCTTTTTAGTTAATGCTGCCATCACATTTTTGTACTGGAAAGAAGATGAAGAGACGTTGGCGATGAGAAACGAGGAGGAACTGCAGGAACTAACGATCGTAGGAGAAGTTTGCTGAGACCTCAGGTCCTCCGGACCTAGCCTTCAAAAGCTACTACTTTCGGCACCGTACAATTGGCATCATTTTCAACCTTTCAGACGTTTGTTAGTCGCAGTGAACATTCTTCGGATTAGCTTCGACACCGGAAACGGAGAGGAACGGCTGACGAACGTGGTCGTTGTGATCACGTGTAACTAAAACAAGTCTTTGGGCGTTGCGGCCGTTATCGATCTCTCGCTGGGCTACGGACGTTCCTGGTGTCAAGAATGATCTCAGGTGTTGCCACTTGACCGGGAAACACCTGTGGAGCACGCGTTGTGCCCGTTTCTCCACGGGCTACACCGCACAGCCTTTCCTCGTCCCGTAGAGAATTTTCAGTTCCGGAACGATGATCTTCCTTATCAATGCGTTCGTCTTCGCTGTCAGCATCTCGCGGTGTGGATCCTTCTTGAATATCTTGATGCCAGGACGATGGACTAGGAATGCGTTGTCCAAGATGAGGAAGTCGTAGTCGAGAACGCACAACGCGTAACCCTAAAACAAAATTGGGTTAACGATTCAGAGAATTCGCAATTCTTCATAAATCTACATACTACAGGTCGCTATTATAGGTCGCTAAAAGTAAAGTGTCGACTTTCACATATTTAGTCCTTCGTTCAGATTAACTCTGTAAACATCAGATCACTTTCTATGTCAAATTCTTTCTCGTTTATTGTTGAGAAGAGATTTTTTTTATGCAAAGTTTCAATGAAATATTTATTGCGTGGAGTTCCATGGGCGGAGATAAAAGTAGGTCGCCACGTGATGTGCCCACTAAGTCGGAAATCATTTGCACCTGTGTCATTTTGTCGCTTTTCCCTTCCCAGCTGAGCCTCTCGTCGTACAGAGGATCATTATTGGTCCCGATGAAGATCGGCTCCCAGTGAACGAAACTGCCTGTCCTCTTGCCAACGTGAAACACGTGAAGATCCTCGGTTTCCGGCGCTTCCTGCCACTCTTTGCTTCGAGGAACGTTGTGACAGCCGGAGCATAATTTCTTGTGAAAGGGAATCGCTGTGCCGGCCTTCAGCATCTGAACCTGAAGACAAATTTATTAAGTTATTTATATAATAAAAAAAAAAAAATATACCTCTGGTTTCTTTTCAACATTTCTAGATACATCTTTGGAAAAGATGGAGAAATCAATTGCTTCAAGATCATACTAATCGATGACTTTGAAATTCCAGAGGGAGAGGAAGTGAATAATGTAACTTACTTACATCAAAAAATTGTTTAACGCGCTACCTCATGATTGGAAACGATTATAGGATATCCTGGTTTGTATAAGATTAATTCACTCTCGGATCATTTTTACAGACTAGTATGATTAATTTCAATTTTGTATTAACAATAATATTCGGGTACAACGTCCTCTTACGCGACGGTAATTCTGCCCCGTTTCTAATTTACAGTCGGAGAGGCTGATGCGCTTTGCAAGAAAAAAAAGGGGGCAGGAGGCGGCCCGTGGTATCACGGTTAATGAAATAAGGCTTGTTGAACGTTTGAAGGAGAAGAAGGGAAAAAAATGAAACGGAATGAATTGAATAGTGCATAGAAGTGGCGGAATTGAATTGAATGTCTCATAGAAATGCGGCCAACGGCCAGCTGCACTTCACACAGCGACGCTACTAATTGTAAAGTATCAAGGTCCACGGTCAAAGGAAGCGCCACTGATTAAACGACCCTCGCGTTCATATCATTTAACGCATTGTCGGCTATTATGCAGCCGTCATTGCGCTCCTTCCTACCCTTTAATTGCCCGCAAGTTCAATTCTCAAGTAGAAAGAAATGTCACAAACGTGAACGAACCAACCACGGCAAAATGTATTTTCTGACTCTGAAGAGTATGAAGATAGATCCGTCTCCGTAATTCCGGGAATTGCATGCAATATTCGCAAAACGAGATGAAAATTCTGTAATAACGAAATACGCAGAAATCTGTTTACTCCTTGTCAAAGATTTTAGACAGATAGTCGTCAAAATTTGATTCCCTTCGGTAGGAAATGTAATTAGATTCTTAGATCATATTGTTCAGAGTAGTGAAATTTAAACAGAATTTAGCTTAAACTTTACGTAACGTAATAGACTGCAGATTTTCCAATATTTATGAATTTATTATAACAGATATTCTGTTTTATATGTACATATACGTACGCAGTCCAATAATGAGCAATTCATCGCCCTGATTATATCCAAATGGGTTCTCTTTGTGCTCAAAAAAGTTCAGTCAGTCTTTTTCTTTTTTTTTTTTTTTTTTTTTTTTTTTTTTTTTTTTTTTTTTTTTTTTTTT